TTGTACAACGGACCATTTTTAGCCCAGGAGTAAAGATGAGGAAAATACCACAGTGTAAAGCCACAGGGCCACTGCCACAAAGCACATGTGATTGCTGTGTCCTTTACCACCTGACCCCTCAAAGCTGATCCACATACCTGTAGTTTTGGCATTGATAAAACTCAGATTCATCCCCTCCCTCTACTGAGGCAGCATCTACTTTTTTTTTTTTTTTTTTTTTTTTGCTTTTTCGAGACAGGGTTTCTCTGTATAGCTTTGTGCCTTTCCTGGGACTCACTTGGTAGCCCAGGCTGGCCTCGAACTCACAGAGATCCGCCTGGCTCTGCCTCCCGAGTGCTGGGATTAAAGGCGTGCGCCACCACCGCCCGGCTTTTTAATCAAGATCCTTGGATGATGAGCATGGGCAGAAAAGCCTTATAGTCTTGTGAGCTCAACTCACTCCTCTCTAGAGCTGCTTTGCACATGATTGTACATTTCATGATGCCTCTGAGGGTGGGGACCAATGTTAAAGATAAGGACGTATTTGGGAAAAGCTTACTTATTAAGGGACTCCTATTCCTTAATTCTTAGTTTTACAAAGAGACAATTTATAATTGTATATTTTAAATAAATATAATATTTATTTAACTTTACATGGTTAACTGTTTTCTCTCCCAGGTCACTAGTGAATGTGATGTATTTGCAGCATCAGGAGCCAGATGATGTCACATGTAGGAAATGAAATGTATGATCAAAGAATTGTTGGCAAGTTAGAAACCTCTGACATCCTTCTCTAATGTGAAGATAAAACTGTTTGAAATTAATACATTATTTGTATGCAAAATGGGGCAGCTGGGGCTGCTGAAAACAGTTTATTCTCTTTCAATCCTGTTTACTCTAGTAATATACTGAGCAAACTCTTTTAGGTAGATAGTGCCAAAGTAAACTTTTGCTTAGCTGGTGTCTGATTTTCATGATTCTCTGAATTAATAAGGTTTATTAAGTTCCAAATAGATACACGGCCTTGGGCATAGTTGGCACCAGATTTAATTGTGTCCCACAACTAGGTTCTCAGCAATCAACTGAGATGTGTTGCTTTAGGTGCCTGATTCTTGATAGGATGCCATTGATGTTTGTTAATAGCATCATGTCTCAATCACTCTAAACCATTTGGGGCCTAACTTAATATCTGTTACACAGCCACCCATTTGTTCGAACTTGACTGAGAACCTCTTTTCTCTCGTGTCTTCACCTACAACTGTGTATTGATCAGAATGTTTCATCATCTCCCTGTAGAAGATCAAATAAGGTCCCCATATCAGTACCTAACAACTATAGTTTGTAAATGCTGGATAATAGGGAAAAAGTCTTTGCCTATGTGATTAATAAATTCCACATGAGAAGATTATACCAGATTATCCCAGTGGGCATTAAATGCAATCACCAGGGACCTGAAAAAAGGCAGAACAGGAGGCCCTGGGCCCCTGGAGACAGGTTGGGGCAACTCAGTCATAAGATAAAGGATGTTAGCATCCGGGAGCTAGAAGGCCCACTGAAGGAACCATTCCCCAGTGACCACAGAGGAAGCACAGACATGCCACACCCTAGTGTCAGATTTCTCACCTCCAAACCTGCCACAGGATCCATTTCTGTTTGAAATAACAAGGTTCGTGATAATTTGTTACAAAAGGTTTGGAGAGCATGCCTGAGCGCGCCTCTGCTTCCCCTGACACTGGAACTGAGTTTGCAGCTGTGGTGGACGGGACAAAGCAGCTGTGATTTTAGCTGTTTGAGTTGTTCTTTTCCACCGGAGGAGAAGATAGCGCCGGAAGAAGGAAGGCCGTGATAAGGGAACACAGGACTGTCCACGCTAAGCTCTTAGGACTAAACCAGGACATTGTGTTTTCCCCAGGCTACAGTTTCCAGAGACCACCCTCCCACCCCCCAGAAACAGATACCTTGGAAATTGAAAGTGGGAGGCACTGGGTGAGAAAATAAAGGACAGGAGGAAGAGGGGACTCTTTCTGCTCCGGGTGATATGTCTGGTAGCAGCAACTGTGACATGGCCAATTGCAAGGTCCTGTGCAGGAAGTGTGTTCCCAGAGGCGGGTGAAAGACCAACCTGCCATTTAGTCTCACCAGCTCAGCCTTCCTGTGTTCTGGCGTTAGTGGGATGCTGATGGTAATTTAGACTCTTGGGATGCAGCATTGTGAGCAGAAGGAGTTGGATTCCCCAGCTTCCTGACCAGCTCTGGTGCAAAGGGTCCTTCAGTAGCAAAGGCTTCAGCAGACTGCAGGGCACCGACTCCCTGAAATACTTTTCCTTGTGTTTCTCTAATACGCATGGCAGGTATAGGGTGACTTCACTAAGTTCCCAATCACTTTCAATTCCTGCATGCTTTCTTATACTTTTTGTGACCATTTTCTTGCATAAAACTCCTTTTGAAATAATTTACGCCAGATCCCGACTTCCCTTGTAAACAGCCTTTCAGGCATGGATTGGTTTTATTTTCCCACAAATGTCTACCACCATATTTAAAAGTTTCTTGAAAACTATCTGGCACATCATGTCTTTCTATCAATGATTTAATTAAATCTGGTTAACCTTCAAGTAACCATTCATATATTTTTCATTTTTATTCACTTATATATTCATGCACAAACTCTTTCCTATTTCCGTTATGCATTTCTCAATCCATTCACAGATACTTACTGAATACATTTTTGAAATTCACGAGTGAAGGAAAGAAGGAAGAAAAGTGATAGACAGAGGTTCAAATCAAAGTTATCCAGATGCTTTCCGGCTCCTTCTTATTTATTTTGTAGCTTAATTCACTCTTTGAGAGTCGTTTCTTCTTAGCATAATTTTGTGATGATGTAGCTGGAATAGTATACAGAAATTGCTGATACTAACTCAGGAAATTAGAAGTTGGACTATTCCAAGTCATTGATCACTTAAATCTAAATCAATTAAATGGGGGTTGCCATTTACTTCTTAAATTCACACAAACTAAACATACCTATTATTTGTACATTTGTTTTTATTATGGCAAGGTGATCCAAGATGAGATTACTTCAACTCTCTGAAAACTGGATTCTAGGAACAGTATCATCTAAAAAAACCCCAAGTCTAAGTAATTGTGGCTTTTAATAATAAAGACTGATACTATTGTGGAGCAAGAATGCCTGTAATTATAGGAAAGCCAACCTTTCATTCACATGACGACTATTTATTGACATTACTGTGTCACAGAAACAAAGGCATGTTTCTGAATGGGTGCTTGATGTGTGGTACTGTCAAGTTTCAACCCCTGCACAAAGTCATAGGAAAAATAACTTATGACATAAACAGATCTTGGTCATTTTATTTTCAAATTTTCTATTAGGGAAAGGTTTCTTTTCATAGATATAATGTGCCATGGCCTGCATTTTCTTATTCATTTGTTTGCCTGTTGGGCATGTGAAATGTCTCTAAGCATTTTTCACTGAGCAAAAGGAAATTGGTCCTGAAGATAATGGATTTAACGTAGGGAAGTATTGGATTGACTACCAATACCTCTGATGTTGAGATGTACAGACTGAACAATGTCCTAATATTTACTTTGGGGACATAAGTTTGTGGGGGAACTCCTTCAAGTGGTTAGTCTCATGGTGAGAAGTTAGTGGTGTAAAGGTGAGCCCAGGCTAGAATGGGGAAATGCTTCTCACTGGGATTATTTGTGAGTTAGTACAGAACATATAGCTGGGAGCCGTGAATGCTCTCATGGCACAGAGAATCAGAAAGCTGTGCATTGTGAGTCCATGGTGAGAGGTATTCTTTCCACTGTTTTCTCCTTCTGTCTGTCATAAATGAATACTAAGGAGATAAGGACAGGGTGCCCTGTCGGGTGCTTTTGATTGTGTGGTAAAGAATAAGACAAGTGTGGCATATGGGAGCAGATGTTATCACGAGGCAGGGTGGTCATACTTCCAAGGGCGGTGGTCTCTGAAGGCATCACACACTCTGGAAATCTCCAGAGCTGGTCAGCCAAACTCTAGAGCTTCAGCCAGAGGAGGCTGACGTCACTGAAATAGTCTCCTTTATAAAGACTGCATTTCCTTTAAGTCACACACAGCAAACAACGCTGGATCAATGCCATCATTTGCCTCTGCATTTACAGTATGACGTGGATGCACATACAGTTGAGAATACGTCCCAGGTTCCTGCTTCTTTCTCATTAGCTTTGTGACTTGGGGTACTTAAACATCGGAAACTTCCAAGTACTGCTGGAAAATGTAAAAGGATTCAATGTTCCTAACAGTTCCTACAGTGACTTATCTTTTGGTTTTAATTACAACACTAAACATATACGCTGAATATTATTTTTTAAGCTCAGTTCAGATTGTAAACATTAGCTGAGTATTCTGAATAACAGTGGTAAAAAGACATATGGTTTATACTCATTTCTTTTTAGATTTTTCTATAGTGTATAAATCTATTACAGAATACTAAAATCTGTCAAATCAGAATCTGATAAGACAGTGTTTCTCAACCTGTGGATCATGACCCCTTGGGGTCAAACTGCCCTTTCGCAGGGGTTACCTAAGAACATTGGAAAACACAGATATTTACATTACGATTCATAACAGTAGCAAAATTACAGTTACGAAGTAGCAAGAAAAGTTATTTTATGACTGGGGGTCACCACAACCACGAGAAACTGTATTAAAGGGTTGCAGGGTTAGGAAGGTTGAGAGCCACTGTGTTAAGGGGAAGCCTGCAATTTCAGTTTGCTGCCATGGCTGCTGCTGTAGCCACAGGGGAGGTATCCTCTGTTGTACGCCTTCAGTATAATCCAGAACGGCTGGATAAAGGGGAGGGAATGAAAAACTCAGTTCCTGGGCCATTTTGGAAAGAAAGTTGGCAACAGAAATGACCATATAACTGATGAGGACGTGCTGCTATTTAGTGGGTGACACAGTTAGAGACTGATACTTTTTTTTCCGTGCTTAAGGGGGGAAAAAAAGCCCAGGACATCAAATTTCTCCAACAATTTGGAATTTTATTCCATCCATGTACATGCATAGTAACAACATTTGTTGAGAAATTATTTCTATCAGAAGTAGAACATTATCTTTGTGATCACCAGGTGCAGTATTGCTACTCTTATATTTAAATAGATCTTATATATGAATTAAATTCATACTTGCAGCATCGAGTTTAGGGTTTCAATTTAGACTGTGCCTTTCAAAAGATAAAACTGATTAATACTACTCCATTACTTACAATACTGCTTCCAGTAATTTTGTTCATCCTTTATAAAGTATTGCATTTAACAGCAAAGGTTTAAAAATTGAGACAGGGCTGCATCAGCGAAAGAAAATACAAGTACTATACAAGAAAGAAAAATGCCATCTTCATTGAACATACATGTTTAAGTTTGAGAAAATGGACAGAAATATACGGCTACATACGAATGCAAAGCCTAGTGACAAAGAGACTGTATTTGCTAAAATATAAAGTGCACATGGAGCCTGATTATCCAAGAATTAAAATCTTAAGGCGAACTTAGAGCATGTGTATTTAGAACATGTTTGCAGGTTATATTTTAGCATATACATATATCTGCAACAGCATATAAGAAAAAAATCAGGATACACAAGTGCTTTTGAAGCTATTTCTAAAATGCTTTTCTGTATTGTTTGTGACTATTTTCTTTAAAAGCTACTATACAGTGCAAACCATATGTGCTACACAATAACTATACAATAACATTACAAATGACTTTAATATAAAGTTTTTAAATAAAAAATAACATAACCACAGCTATGAATACTGCTGGTAAAATAAATTAATTTTTTTTTGAAAATGGCACCAATAATACACTTTACTAATGGTCTGTAATGAAAGTACACCTTAAGTCTTCAACTCAGCCATAATGAATGTCTCCTTATTGCCAGATGTAATTCAGACAGCTGCTTTGTTTTCTGGACTGTTTAGAAGAACTTACTAAACACTGGTACCAAAGGTGACGGCTTTCTTTTTTTTAACTCAGTTCATTTGACATGTTCTGCTGCATGTGATGAGCAATAAAACTTCTTGTGAGTTATAAAGTTTGAAAGGTTATTGAACTGGATATCGCATAGCCGGCAGTATTTCCCACTGCTGGGAGCCTGGGTGGAGCCGTTCACACCTTTCGCTATACTAGACAACTGTTCTTCTGCCGAGGGAATTCCTGGGGAGACATTCTCATTGGCAGCTAATGGGTTTTCAGAGATCCACGAGGGGGATTTGTGGTCATCGTCGTGCTGGGCATTCTGGGAAATGTTCTCTTGCTGTGGGTTGGCCGGAGGCCTTTCATCTTGCTTCAGTCCACCATTCACTATGACCATGCCTCTGTTTTTGGGCAACAATGGCAGAGAATCTTTCTTGGGCACGGCACACCCATTTGAGGAGGCCTGGCCTTTAGGAGACTCGTTTTCTGTGTTTGTGCTTTGTTCTACGTCGGTGTTGTGGATGACGAGAGAACCGGAGATATAATCGCTTGGTTTTATGCCATAGTATGGAGAAAGCTGGTCTGCTCCTTTCGTCTTCTTTATTGCTCCAGGGTAAAGGCATTGGGGAAGAAACAAATGTTTGTTTTCTTCTTTTGTAGCAATGAGCTGAGCGGCTTCGCTGAAGACTTTCAGACCTTGTAAAGTTGCTAAGTGGGACGAAAACAAATTTCCGTTGGGAGAAGACTGCTTCGGATTCCCATTCTTCTCACATTTGATCATGTTTCTGTCAAAGCTGACGTCGGGGCTGTTCCGTTCGCTTTCTGGATTTGGAAACACTTTGCCATCAAGCTGACTCAGGTCGTTACGCTGATGTGCCGTGACAGGGCAGAAATTCTGCTTGTGGGCCAGGTAGTTCTCGACCTTATTGAAGCTGATTTTGCACACGGTGCACTCGTGGTAGTCTAGCAGCCTTTTGGGAGATGCGGTCGTCCGCTCAGACTGCGATAAACACTTTTTGCTGAGATCTATGGGTACGTCCATTTCCAGGCAGGAAACACTGGAGTGGGTCGTGTCACATTTGGCAACCGGAACACATTTGTTCATGGCCAATGAAGTTTCCAGGTGCTTTGAGACAATTCCTGGGAAGATGTCGCATCTCGGATGGTAGCATTCTCCTAGCCCTTCCGTGGGCTCTTGAGTGGAGCTACAAGGATTGCTGAGGTTGGCTACATCAAGAAATCTCTGCTGGACCAGGGGCGGCCTTTGCTCCTGCTCAGGTAGGCACATCTCATACATCTTTCTTCGCTTGCGTGTGCGCATGGTTCTCTGCATGGCCGGCACTTTGTTGGAAGCAGACCTCTTGAGCGGAGGGTCATGGCGTGTTGCACAGTAATACTGTTTGTGGACCATGTATGTTTCGTGCCTGCTGAAGGTGATGTTACAAGCTTCACAGGTAGTCTTATTGGGGTCACTTTCCCCATCCACTAAGGGACCGTTGGGATTTTTCACATCAACTGGCTTTCCATTCATTTTGTCATCGTTGCTGTTGGACGTGGACAGCTTTTTGGCTTGGGTGGAAAAGTCCTTCTCATGGCCTTTTCCATTTGGCCCAATCAAATCTAAAACGGTGGAAGAGTTGATGCACGATGTTTGAAGAAGTGGAGTCTCTGGGTCTGAAGAGTGAGCAGCTGGGTTGAGGAGGTTAATGGAAGCCTGGCCTGTGTTGGGACTCACAGCTTCAGGCATCTTTTCTGAAACACCCGGAAACTCAGGAGACTTGGCCATCTGCTGCCATCGGCTGCTGCAGTAGTGTTTTTTATGAACTAGATAGTTATCCAAATTATTGAATGTTATATTACACTCAAAGCATGTAGCCCCTTTGGGCATCAAAGGGCTGTAAATTACGGGAGGGTAGTTGCTACTCCCGTGCCTCAGTCGCCGATGCACCAGCTCGGACATCTTGGCTAAGATCTCTGAAGCCTGCGGAACCATGGTGATATCTTGGGGGAAAGCGAACTGAGATAGGAAAGGTCCCACAGGGAAAGACGGCCCGATGTTGGGTTGCACTGGAGATGAAGCAAGTCTCGGGCTGGAGGGCTCAGACTTTATTTTTGTGTAAGAAAAGCTTTGTTTGTTTGTTGCAGGCTGGATCTCTGGTCTCTGGTTGGTGAGAAAGAGCTGGGTCTTTTTCTCACACTTGTCCAGTTCCGTGTCTGAGCTTGCATCTTTAGTCTGCATGGCCTTCTGGCTCTGGGGGAGGTCGCTTCTGGCCAACAAGTCTGTGGCTGGCTGTAGGCTGTCTTCGGTTCCACTCGGAGAGTGCTCCATGTCGCTTTCTCTGGGCAGCTTGCCACTGGGGACATGGAGGTCCTGATGCTGCAGCAGCTCCCTCTGAGTCTGGAAGCCAAAATGGCAGTGGTTGCATCGGAAGGCGGCTTGAGTGAGGTGGGAGAAAAGGTGTTGGTGGAAGTTGATCACGGAATCAGCAGTGTAGCTACAGACCGTGCATTTTAAACTCGCCCCTGGGGGCAGGAACTCTTCCATTTTCACTCCTGGAAGGACACACAAAATGGGAAAGCTGAGAACCACACCTGTCTGCTTCTCAGTGATGGGAATCTTTGCTAGTGAGCTTGTGTCTTCAACACAACAGACCCAGAAGTCCTTCAGATCCTTGTCTGTGATACTGACATTTAAGCAACATCTGTAGCAATAATTTCCTAAGTCACTTTGTAAGTGTTATGGTATGGGTGGGAAAGCTATCAGTGCTTCTGTTTTACGGGTCAGTAAACAAACTTAAAAAGCCTAAGAGAATTATAGTAATCAAGCGGTGTAACAATAGAGTCATGCTTAAGACTTAGGCTTATACTTTTTAAACTGAGTACTATGCTCTATAATAGGAATAAGTGAATATTCATTAGAGTGGCTACTAGCTACTAAATACTTACATGCAAAAAGAAACTGTATTTCACTAGCAATCACTGGACTCATCTTTTATCTTTTATATAAACCTATTTATTTGTTGGTTTTACCAAATGTGGTTTATCTGTGTTTAGGACTGATATTTGGCTGGTGGACAACCGTATGTTAATAAAAGTCAGTTTGGACTAGCATCCACACTGGTTAATTACTGTCTGTTTCTGACTGGTTATTGCCACTGATGGTGGAGGTATCATGTAGAACAACTCCTGCTTCTGTTTGTTTATATATGATGAGAACAGACTTGGCTTCTCTTCCCTGGATTGTGAGTTCGGGTCAGCCTGATCTACATAATGAGTACCAGGACAGCCAAGGCTATGTAGAATGACCCTGCCTCAAATAAAATAAAATATTTAAAAATTAGAAAAATATCTAAAAATGTTGAAATTTAATATAATTACATACATTTTTAAATTATAAGAATGGGGATGCCATGAAATTAGGCTAACAATAGCTGGGATCCATTTCAAATATAGGTGGGAATAACTACCAACTTGCTGTTTTTCTTAAGGAATCCAGAGTACTTTCATATGATAAAATTCAGTTAAGCTTTAACCACACATACTCTGGAAACTGAGAGATTTTTAATGGAATCTACCAAAATCGAAGCTTTAACTGCACAGCAACTCCTTTTTAAATGTACCTATTATTTCTTCCTTAGCACATGGAAAACAACATGATCAGTTTGATCCACCCAAAGATCACTTGACATGTAAAACAATGAAAATGAATGGTATTAAACAAAGGGAATAAGAATAATGCCGTTTTGCTGAAGAGGAAAATGAATGTAATGATTTGGCTCACAGTTTAAACACTGCAGTAGACGCAGAAGAAATCATAGTCAAGTCCTTTAACTAAAATGTGCTGCATCTAAACAGTAGATGGGAACACTGCTTGATCCAATAAAATATCTATCTATCCATCCATCCATCTATCTATCATCTATCTGCATATATAATAGATAAGATACATATACATATGTATGTATGTATGTATGTGTAGAAAGAGTAGAGTATCCCGAATCCACTGCAGAAACATTAGAGGCCCTTACCACTGTGTGAGTTCAGGTGCATTTCTAGAGCTCGGGCGTTGGAAAAGCTCTTGGTACATTGTGGGAAGGGGCACAGGCTGGAAATCTGATGAGTATTATCTTCATTTTCTTCAGACACTGGAGCAGCTTCTCTTTGCCTCCCACTACAGTAGTACATCAAATGGGCTTGCAGGTTCCTCTCGCTCCGGTACCAGATGCCACAGGATTTGCAAGGGAATATATCCTCTGCAGCAAAACCAGAGACATATTAGCTGCTGTCTGGGGGAGTGGAATTAGGGTAAAGTCACATTTACTTCTGTCTTTCTCAGTCTGCTCCCAGGTTCTGAGTTGAGTAAGTAAGCATTGATGAGTATGATCTTGAGTGTTTGGTAGATCAGGACCAGGCTCTTAAAAGAAATGGTACTCTTTAATTTGACTTCCCACAGAATGTTTAGAAAGTAATACTGTAGGAGATGCCAATATAATTTCATTTTATACTTATGGTTTAGAAAAAACATGCATTTATAATAGCAATGAGAACTGGTTTATCTGATTAGTTAAAGGGTATGAATGTGGTTGTTAGACTAAAATACCCTGAATGTCCATTCCTGACATCATTCATTGATTTAATGAATTAATTACAGCATGCCTAAAAGATGCCAAACTCTGTGTTGGATTTGGTGTAAAACAAGGGGATAGGACTTCTAGGGTTGAAGAGTTTACATTCTGAGTTGGTAGTGAGTGATTAGACAGCATCTTTACAGCTCTCTGACGGAGGAGCCTGAAAGATAATCTGGGACCTAGACAGTGGTACCCACTGGGCTTCTGGGGGATGGGAGGGAGGGAGGAGCCAGTCCGAGAGGCGGTTAGAGGGATGGTAATGCTGTTCCTTAGATCTGATGTGGAAGATGAGATGAACTTATTCAGGTGGAGATAAGATTTTCTGTCATTTGGTAAGAGTCACAGTGCAGAGGAAGCCACAGGAGCTTGGGAGGACCTGGCTGAAGGCTGAGTGGTCCTGTGGTACTGTTGAGACAAAGGGCAGGACAGATTATGAAACATCTTGCAGACTCTTTGGAGAGGCTTTCCTTTGGTCTCAGTGATGGAATCAGAGCCTAACATAAGAGCAGAGTGGTTTTGAAGGTAGTAAATGCAGAAGAAACATTCTTGAAAGGTAGGAGGGAGGTGCAATAATTTAAGTGAAATACAATGAGGCTTGAGTGATAGCCTCAGTGATATCGAGTTTAAGAAGTCATGCTGTGCTGTGTGATTTCCACATCACTGACAGAAAATTTCTTCAGATGTGTATTTTTCCTCCTCACATAGGTATAGTTGAGGAAACCATAGTTGACTACCTTGTATACGACCCTGTAAAGCAATGGTTCTCAACATTCCTAATGCTATGACCCCTTAATACAGTTCCTCAGGTTGTGGTGACCCCCAACCACAAAATTATTTTCCTTGCTGCTTCATAACCATAATTTTGCTACTGTTATGAATCATAATGTAAATATTTTTGGAGATAGAGGTTTGTCAAGGGGTTTGTGACCCACAGGTTGAGAACCACTGGTATAAAGGGTTGCATTGAGATTGGAATCTAGCCTTAACCCTACTTCCATACGGTCTGGATGAAAAAGTTACACAGAGATTGGGATTCTATGAGGGAAGCAGAAATTCATAGATGAGATAGATCAGTATTTTCAGATTTAGGCAGTGTGGGATGATCCAGCCTAGTTCCTATGTTATAGACACAGGGCTTTTGAATGCTATCCAAAAAGTTTTGGGAAACATAGGGTCACATTAGACACATGGGATTTGGTGTTTCTGAGATATATACAGAGGGACATGGCGGGGGGAGTCTTAAGAGAGTTCTAAAACTCCTCAGAAAGAGCTAGACTTATCATTGAACAATGACTGTATAACTAATGGTAAAACAAAGGAAATGGCTCTGTGGAACCATGAATCAGAAATGAGAAGGAACCAAGGATCAAATTCTAGTGGAGGGGAGATAAGATGACGTACCAATGTCTCTTTATTATTTAACCCATTCTTCCCAAGTTAAGTACATTTATACTACCCAAAAGGCTGCATAGTTAATACTTCAACAGAGTCATCAACTGATTGATTTCAGGATGCAAATGATAATCTGTGCTTATATTGGGTGATTTGAGATTATTTCCTTGCTACCAAAAGTAAACAGGTATATTCTTATATGTAATTAATATTACACATTTGAGCATCATAATTGAAAAAGGTTATTTGAAATTCCTTGTAATAAAATTATTTTTGCCTCAAATCCAAATTGGTCACAGTATTTCACAGTCCATGCAGTAATAATCAAAGTAAAGAAAATAAAAACTATTCCACTAAATTAATCAAGTAAGAATTGATTAGGTTGAAAGTCCTTGGCCTATTGATTGGTGGCATAGTGATTTCAGAATCACAGGTAAATTTCTTTCATCATAATTATGGTTGGATATTTTTATATTAACATGGAGATACTATTGCTGTCTAGATTTCTTTTCCCTTAGCAGTCTCAAAGATTTTCAAGACTATTTTAAGACTAGAAGCATTTATTTTTTATTACCAGCGTTAGTATCATTCTTTTCTTGCACTGCTTTTTAGTTTCCCACAGAGAGCTCAATAAAATCAGACCTCCCCAGAAAACAGACTCTGAGATTCCTTGAGACATTGACTGTCTACCATATGAAGTACCACTTTGTGTGTTCAAGGTATTCAAACTAGTTTAGTATTCATCTTAGTAGCAGGACTACCCAGGTAGAATTGTGACAGTATATTTTAAAGTTCTCTGTGAAGTATTAAAAGCTTATATTTTTTTTCTTTCTTTCCCTTGTAATCAACAAATATTTGGTTTTGCCCAGGCTACCAGACCTTCATCCATACTATGAGAATAAAAACAAAAGCTCTGTGTACTTGTATTCATTTATTTGAGGCTAATAATTAATCTCGTTACTTTCAAATAGAACAATAATAATTGTATGTCAGAGCTTCACATCAACATAAGGCTATACATTCTATATCATTAGTATATATAATAAAATTTGATTTTTATATTTATATTCTTTTTTTTTCCAAGTTTTTAAATTCCATGGTCTTTGACAACTTTTGATACTAGAGAATCATCAATGAAAACCACTGGGTTGTCCTTGCTAAGTGCAGTTGAATATTATCCAACAAGTAAAGAATGACAGTTTTTAGTGTGGGTGACATTTAGGAATACAATCTGACATAATTGGATGTGTACGATTTTTGTCCTGCATTCCCATACTAAGCAAACACCACACACACACACACACACACACACACACACACACACACACACACACACACACACACTGAAGAAAATGTCTGTTCCCAGCCGCTTGTCAGTAGGCATTTTTTTTCTCCCATAAATACCCAACACCCCCACAGAGCTGGGCTATAGCACTCAGCACTTACTATTGACAATAGCTGTAGGCAAAATAGATGCCATGGCAGCTTGCTGAGGAAGCAGCTGAATTGAGTCCAGCAGGCGGGCCGGGTACATCCCTTCTGTGAGAGTCATCTGACTGGCAGCTTGTAGCCTTGAGTCAAAATCCACCACAAAGGCAATTAGCTCTTCACCCTCTGAGATGGCCTTCGTAGTGGTGCACCAAAGCTGACCCCCTGTTAAGAAGAGAGGAACAAGAGGAGAAAGAGTTGACATGGACAGCATGAGCTGGCTGTGTACTAGACTGACGTCAAGGCATCTTCTCAGGTTGTTCCCATGAATTTACTGGGAGAGGAGCTTGATCAGACTGGAGCTGTGTGTCTCAGCCAGGCTCTGTGGACAAATGTTCTCCTGGCATTAAGCAAAATTTTTGGTAACTAATAGTAGGAGAAAACTAGGGAAAATATAGACAGAATCTGTGGAGTTCTGTCAATGGTCTGCCTTCCAGGCTTCTGCCTGAATCATTAACCTGGTAGTACGTTGGTAGAGTGCCTGAAAACCTGCATGGGAAGGATGTGATTGCAAAAGTTTGCTCCAGACAAGCTTTGGAAGTTACTATTTCATTAACTAATGGAAGAAGCATCTGTTTATCTCCCTCTTCCTGCCTCCCTCTTCCTCTCCCACCATCCCTCAGTCTTTCCACTTTCTCAGTTCTTATACACTGTGAGCACAGATATACCAAATTGCAAAACAAGCAAACAAGAGTTTATAAAATCGAGAGTGTTAAAGCGCAATTACAGGGAATCTGACCCTCCCTATGTATACTACCATCTATGTACTTTTTACTTTGATGGATGATCTTACACAATACCCTGCGATGTCCCTTTTTTTTAAATCTCCATTTACCCTGATTGAACTTCCCGCAAAAGAGGATACACCAAAGATTCTTTTCAAAAAGGCTTATTTCAATAAAGATTTGTTTAAATGAAAGGAGCCTAGTCTTCAAACACTGAGATATACTCTGGGTCTGCGTTTCAAATGATCACGTGCGGTGCATTAAAAAGAAAAATTAACTATGCAAGTACATCTTCTAATGTATTGGAATGTGATAGCGAACGCTCATTTATTTAACATGTTTAGACAGGCAAAGCACTTATATTTTGTTATCTCTACTCTCAGGCCTAGATACATATCCCACACAGTTATGTCTGCAATAATGTGGTGTACTTGATATTTTTTAAAGCACCCCCCATTCTGTATGTACTGGAACGCTGTATATTGTACTCATTAACTAAGAAAAATTGTACCCATTTTGATAAGTCGTATTGCTCTGCTTATCTTTCAGCATAACTGTCATTTCAAGTGCACTTCATTTTTTCCAGCCTCAGAGATCATGGTTTTTAAACAACTTGTACAAATCTCGTGGAGATAAGAACAGTATATGACATGGCGGCCAAACCGAAGACTGAAGATGATACTTTAGAAACATCGCTGGCAATTAACCAAGATTTAAAGTAAGCAAACAGAACACAGCCCAGGAGGGTACGTGTCTGTGAAAGAAGAGAAGAAAGATTATAGTTCGCAAATTTATGACCAGTTTTAAATTAAAACACCACAGGGCAACATGTACCCATCCCAACCACATTTTGATGCTAATATTTCTCAAAGCATACAGGTTTATGGTAGTTGAAATAAAACAGATTTATTTTGTTGTTGAAAAAAAAATTTTCCCCTAAATCTCAGAAGCTAAAATTACATCATTAAAGAATGAGCGGGAGTTAGAAGTCCGTGAGGTGCTATTTCCCCTGGGGCCATTCTTGCTCTGGGAACCCCTGCATTTAGATGCTCTGCCCTTTCTGATGTACACACATCTTACTGCTTATGGTGGTAGACAAGCTAATCACTGTGTCTTATCTCTCCTCCGAAGCACGGTTTATTAAGCCAGTCAGTGGAATAAGGGTGGAAATGGAAAAGCCAGCAATGCAGTTTGGGTTTATTTCACAGCATGGTCACAGAGCCACTAGATTTCAAGTGCGGAGTTCACATTCTTGGTTAATCCAGCTCTGGTTACCTTTCACAAAAGGAAAGGCAGGTTTGGTTTCAGTTCCGAGGAGAATGCATCTACCAACAGCTAATCATGGTCACTGCAGTAACAACACAGTAAGATGACAGCATACCTGTGCACAGTGTTTCGCCAAAATATCCAATCAATAAAGTAAAAATGAAAAATATTCGGTGCAAAATACCCAACAAAAATATGATTATTTACATTACTAAGTGCTGGTGGCCGTGTCAGAGGGACAGCTAATGGCAATTGACTTCAGGGGGTCGGTCCACCAGGGAACAAGACCCTGATGGGTAAATCTGGGCTAGAAAAGGCCCCGAGACCACAGACCCCAGAGTGTCTTTTGCTTTTGCTGTGCCTTTACATGTTTGCCTGCTGTCTTCCTCTGATATCTGGCATGGTGTCAATGGGTGTTGGGGGATCCCCACTGCCCTTAATGCAGTATGATAATCTCTTGGAAATATCCCATTCTACCTGGCATTTCTACCTGTGGATTACTATGAAGACGATTTCTTCTTAAGCTGTACTGTCTAATTAATGATAATGTTAGTTTAAATAGAGTTTTGATGATAAAAAATAAAACAAGGATGTGTCACACAGCTAGAAGACAAGAATTTCTATTGAGGAGCATATCGACTGTGGCTTAGGTTAATGATTAAGAAAAGCAGTTGAGTTCCAGTAGCCCAGCTAGTTTAAATTCTTCTAATCTTAATGTTGGGATATGTGTTCATAGGTTTCAGGGTGCATCAAACCTGAAACAAAGCTTTGAAAATAACTTAAAAGTTAGACTAAGATGTTTTGTTAAATAAGTTTGAGGTGAAAAACCCAAGAAGACAATCTAAAGTTTTAGAAAGGCACATAGTTGAGTGAGGAACTCTTTAAGGTCAGGGAACAAGAACAAAGTAGCCTGATTATTATTAGCTGAAGTGCTTTCTTGCTAGGATTGATTGATGACCAAAGGTGATGATTAATTCCTTGTACCAAATTTTCCCCTCAATCTCCTGATATAGAAAACTATTGATGAGTGGGTATGCACCCTAAAGATTTAAAATAGAGCTGAGTGATTGTCTTTCATATGTGAAAGTTTAGGTTTGTGATTCCTTTAAGATTCCTTATAAGATTACCTTTCAAGGTAATAAAGTGATTGATCCTTCCTTTGTAACTGCAAAACACAGCCTGCCTGTAAAAGAATACCTTGTTTGCCTAAACTGTTAATCTATAACAAGTTGCTTGGGTACAAATGCATGTGGGTTCTTGGGATAATCTATTTTTTACCTATAATATGTAAAATATTTAATCATATTAAGAGAAATGGAAAACATGCTATTTTTTTTTTACTTGTATTCATTGTAACCATCCACTCGAAAACCAGAATGTAACCACATTGTGATTTCTATATTGCCTAAAAGATTTTGTTGGGGTGGATAAGCTATTAGTGGAAAAATACAGAAGAAGGAGAATAAGGTAGAATAAAGATAGAAGGAAATAGCAAGAATGAAAGAATTAGGAGGAAAACATTAAGAGAGTTGAAAGGAAAAAAGAGAGACAGAAGAAACATTTCTGGACAGAGATAAGAAAAGAGAATACAGAATACAGAATCAGAATACATAAGAATAAAGAAAAGGTCTGAAGGAGACCATTGAATGAGTGTGTGTCTTTTTTCCTTAACCTCCTCAGATCAAAAGGTCACAGTATGCCAACTCTGTGGATTCCCTTTGATCCCTGGGCTGCTGGAGGCTGGTCCCCCAGACAGCAAAGATGAAGCAACTTGATAGTTGTACACTTCTGCATTTTCAGATGTATCTGTGTTGTTTCGTATTTTATCATTGCTATTACTTGTTTCCATTTTGTAGTTGACTCAGAGTGCATTATTTGGAAACCTGAATCAGACCGAACACATACCGTGTAGATTTGAAAAGAAAGTTGGTTAGGATTAAATTCTTTAATTAATTAATTAATTAATTCATTCATTCATTCATCACTTATTCAGTGTGGTGAAGTCTCTGCTATGTGTCAGGCTGGGCTGTGCACCATTATGCACAGCGGCACAATCAGAATACATATATGCCAACAAATTAATCAAAATGTGTATCACATTACGGGTGCCGACCCTTCTTGAGGGAATTAGGCAAGTCACCCAACACAATATTTTCCTGGATCTGATATAAGCAGACGTGAAATATCAAGTGTGTGTGTGGGCAGGGACAGGCAGGCTCATCATCAGTGGACATGGAATGAGCATGGGAGCAAGTACAGAATGATGGAAGGCCCTGACTTTGGAACAAGCCTTGAGTTGGGAGTCTGAGGGAAAAGGTGTGGGCTAGGGCACTTGTGGCCTGGAACCAGCATGTCTGGATGAAGAACAGAAAACTACATTTTCAGGAATTTTGCGTTGGTTGATATCCTTCTGCTAGCTTGACGTTGGCCATGGTGAGCGTTATAGCATTTATCAGAGTTCCTCATAAAAGCTTTAAGTATAAAGTGAATTCAATTATACCTGCTTCGTGCTGGGGAGAGATACACATTTATATTAATGAATAAATACGTTATTAACAGATATTTTTCCTTCTATGTAATCCAGAGAAAAATTTAAAGGCAGGATATGCTACATACAGCTGTTTAGAGATTATTGCACTAATTCAGTAGTTATAAATATAAATTACGAGGAAGAAAAGAGTCCCATTGAAGAGACACAGAAGAGACAGGGCTGGAGGGATGTCCTTAGAAGAGAAAGAAAGGAAGCCTTGAGATGACACCAAGGCTAATGGCCTTGGAACACAAATGGTGTCAGGGTAGGTTATGGCCCTACCCTGACAGGAAGCTGGATTAGTTACATCTAGTCTTATAATTATGTACATACAGCAACGGCGACAACACCAGATCAGTACAGGTCACAAGCATTTTGGGGCTGGAGATGAAAAGTAGTTGGTGTACTTCATTTGCTTTAAATCTACCAATTACTCTATGAGGTGACAGTTCCCTCCTAGGGTGGAGAAAACTGACACTTAGCAAGGTTAACTTCCAAGAGATGTGTGTGTGGTCATTGGCACAACCATGTCTTTGACTTTGGTCTTCCTTATGCTTCTTTTTTTTTTTGGTTTTTCGAGACAGGGTTTCTCTGTGTAGCTTTGCGCCTTTTCTTGGAACTCACTTGGTAGCCCAGGCTGGCCT